TTTTTTCGTGTTCAACATGCAACTGAATGCCCAAAAGACTACGGCGTTCAGTGCGCTGTGCAGACAAATATCTTCCCCAACTTTGGTAACCCACAGCGTCTTCTGCAATATTCTACATCCAAAATATAAAAATTTGGTTCTCGTCCGTGGTACAACCATTGAAATCTATGAAATAAAGGAGACAAAGTAACTGATAGTGATAAATGTGCATTTTTTTAGAAACGATTTGGGTCTTAGTTTTGTGACGTCATCGATGCTCTATGAGGAGGTCGAGGATATCGTTGTCGTCAGGTTTTATGGTCATCAGATGGATTCTTTGCTTCTAAGTTTTAAGGAAGCTAAAGTATGTACTCTTTTCTTATATTTATTGATTTTGTAAGGTCGCCGCAATGACTTTCGATATCCAAGCCTACGAACTTAAAACATGTTCTCTTCATACATACGAAGATCTCTCACTCAAGGTTCGTCGTTATTTTTATTATTATTTCTTAACTCTCTTCCATCTGTATCAATCTCTCACTCTATCCATTTCTGGTCGTTGTTTTTGCTGCATTAAAACATTATTAAATATTCCACGCGTTAATAATAGGGTTTAATTTTTAGGAGCGAATAATCGATTATTTCCGTCTTTTGGGCCATTCAGCAACTAGACCTGACACATTTATCGAAAGTTTCCGTTTATTTTGTAGGGTGGACGTCTACAGTTTACAAAGACACCGATGCTTAGGGTAGACCCGCTGCAACGATGCGCTGTCATGCTGGTTTACGATAGATATCTGGCGGTGTTGCCATTTCGTCGCGCAGATGCCTTGACTTCAGCGGAACATCTTGCGGAAACTCCCACAACCCCACTTGTAGAAGCTGTTTGGCAACACAAAGCCACAGCACCGATATTGTCAACATTTACAACTTTCTTGAGCACGTCAACTGGAGAAAGGATTAACAATGTAATCGACATTAAATTCCTGTACGGATTTTATGAGCCTACGTTGTTCGTTCTATACGAACCAATCGGAACTTGGGCAGGGTAATTTTTTATTTGCTTGCTTACTTCATCCCTCATAATAGACGAGTTTCCGCTCGACGTGATACCTGTTGTATCGTAGCCCTTTCTTTGAACCTACAAAAACGAACAAATCCCGTGATCTGGTTTCAGGAACAGCTCCCTTTCGATTGTCATACAGTTATACCTATACCCATGCCTGTTGGTAAGTAAGGGAGCTTCCTCCCATTTTTCGATACAGTATGGAACAGTTATTTTTGCAAGTGAGTGAGAGTATCGGCAATTGAATTTTGCGACTACTTCAGAGCTTACAACATTCTGAATAAACAGTTTATTTCACCCCTCAACTTCGGATTTTCTTAGTTTAGGATTACATTTAAAGCTGATTCGAGTTCAAATCTTCAGGGGCCTAAAACCTTTAAATTGTACCATGTTAAGGAGACACACAATTGCATTCTAGGCTTACGATTTTGCTGTTGTTCTTATGGCATGATTTTAACCGTTTGATGAAACCTTATCTATTTTTCAAGGCGGAGTTCTCATAATCGCGGCCAATTCGATAATCTACCTGAAACAGACCCTGCCGTCGTGCGGACTACCTCTTAACTGCTATGCTTTACTTTCAACGGATTTCCCTCTCCGTAAGCAGTTAGTCCATATAAACGTGACCTCTTTTAACCAAACTGTTAGTCGGTATCTTACCTTGCAGTCATTGTTCATTTCGAGGTAAACCAAGTGGTTCCCTTGACCAGCACTCTCCCTTGGTAGACGCAACGGATAATGATTGGCGACGAAATACTTAACTGGTCTCACAAATGCTTTACTAGCCGATTTTCTTCTCGTTGGTTGTGAATGACTTCGGGGTAGATCCGAAGTACACACCGGTCACTTAGCCTCAACGATTAAATATTAAATAGAAATTTCCAACTCAATCTTCTGCCACCATAGCTACCATATTCACTATGTGCATTTGATTTTTTTATTGTTTATTATCAGAGGTGGATCTATATAGTCGTCTAGTATGTTGCAAGTAAGGATCCCGTGCTTTAAACTCCCAGCCATTGTGCATTTTGCAGTTCAAGCAGGTAACACAGCCCGTGGTTTGCGAGAGCTAGAGAGAGTAGAGGATCGTCAAATTTGGTTTGTCATATCGTGATTTAGGTGGTTGCTTAGGCGTTAGCATATTCTGTTTACCGGTCATTCACTTGACTTAATTTCTGCGCAGGCTTCTCTTGATGAAGCGAGTCTCAGTTGATCAATATATGAACGGTTGACGCATGTTTGTTTGGATAGCGTCTTTCTGATTCGACCAAAATAGTGTGATAATCGGAATTAGCCTTGTAATGACCTAGTAACTTTTCAGTCCATCGGTATATGCAATTGTTTGCTCTTACCTCGATACCAAGATGCGCCCAGTTCGCCTCTGTTAAAAATATATGCATTTATATGCTCGAGCATAAGGACGAAACATGAGAGGAACGCGAACTTCCTGCTTAAGTTTACTCCTCTTCTCTA